AAGTGCTGTAGTTGGAATCTTATAGAAATAAAAGTAGATCTGAAGATATATCTTGTATTTTATTAGTTGATATTGGTGAAAGTATATTAGTAAAATTGGTTGATCTAGAAGAGTTAGTATAATTAAAGAGAAGAATAAGTATATTTGATTATGATTTTAATAGAATATTATAAAAGTTATAGATTGATAGAATATAGTAGTTTGGTATATCAGTTTCATGTGATAAATAGATATATATTTCTGTTTTGTTACTATTAATAGTAATAAAAGCATAGCTTGCAAGGTGCTTGACATTGTTTTGTTATAAGTGTTGTAGAAATAAGTTAATATTTTGTAGTTTACTTAGTAAAAGAAGTTGGTAATAGGTAAGAAATTTGTTATAGTATACGTTTAAATCATAGGAGTTTGATAGTATTAACAATAATTTGAATAGATGTTCTTTTGTAAATAAACTTGCTATTTTAAACTCAGTTCTCATAGCTATAAAAGGTTTCATAGTCTGCTATGTATATTTGGTCTGACTATTATTATTCTGGTCTTCTGTATACAAAATATATTTTTAAAAATCTATTTTATCAACTTTGCTAAGAAAATTTTTTAAACTTATTAAAAAACTTTTAATTAATTAATAGACAATACATCTGTTATCTGAAGAGGATCTGCAAATTTTTATAAATAAATTTTACTATTAAGCTAAATGTGAAATACTCTAATTTAAAACTTTTTTTTACTAAGTAAATTATTCTTGGACTTCTAACAAAAGTTGTAAAGTTCATCAAGATATATCTAATAGTAGTAAGAATATTAAAATTAGCCTTGTAGTTCTTAAAAAATATTTTGCTAACATATAAATTTTTTTTAAAAAAATTAATTTTTTTTAAAAAAATTTTATATATTAGTAAAATATTTTTTAAAAATTTTTTAAGAACTACAGGGCTGATTTTAATATTCTTACTATTGTTAGATATATCTTGATGAGCTCTACAACTTTTGATAGAAGTCCAAGGGTGTTTTACTTAGTAAAAAAGGTTTTAAATTAGAATACTCTACATTTGGCTCAATAGTAAAATTTACTTATCAAAATTTGCAGATTTTCTTCAAATAACAGATATATTGTCTATTAAAGTTTAAAGTTTATATAATATTAGAGTTTACTATTAAAATTTATTAAATTTTTAAAATTTTATATAGTAGATACTGTCTAAATACATACTGTATAATTGTATATACTTTTTAAGTATATAAAAAATTTTAGTTTTTAATTATTAATACCAAAATAATTACTATAACTTAAATACATATATTGTCTATATATATAAAAAAACCTTTAACAAAATAATATATAATTAAACAGTATCGATTATATTTTGAATTTAAAAAAATTTTAATTTTAAGACAAGTATTAATTTTTACAAATAAATTATAAAATTTATCTCTTAGATTATAATACAGACAAATTTGTTTGTATTTTTTTTTAAAATTTTATATTTTTAATAAAATTTTAAATATTAATTTTAACAATATATTTTTTAATTAAAAAAATTTTTTTTTAACGTCTACTCTCTTGGGAGCTAGGATTTTTATTCAAGTATATATAGTGAAGGGTTCTCAAAGAAACCCCTACATTAGAGAGTACATACTAGCTACACATATACTTTTGGTATCTAATTTAAGTAGTCTACCTGTATATCATACAGATTCCATACTAGATGCTATACCTATAATCCAACTACGGGTGTTACCTATTTAAACCCTCTGTAATACAACTAAACCTGTATCACCAGGATATCTCCAATACAATTGTCAGTCAAGAAGTCCCAGATACTTTATCCATTTTCTTAGAACTACTTTATCCTCAAGAGATTGACACTAGAGCAGTCTGAACCCACAATTCAGATTCACCTAGATTCAGTAACTTACACTGAGTCTGAAGACAAGTACTTGCGAGCCGAAGCTGCTACTATTACCTACTACCCCCTTGTAGAGTTCACCCAAATCCCAGTACCCACTTTACAGACTATCAACTGTATCTCCAACTATCTCAAACTACCAATTCAGATAGCCTGAACGGGATTTTTCCCTGGTATCTGTAACTAAACAAATCCTTTTTCTCTGGTTCTGACGAACTCAGTTCTGGTAACCTGGTTAGTAGAATACCTTGCCATACACCTGGTCCCATTCGGTTTTTGCCAGTTCTCCAGTGATGATCTTTTACATAGTACTGTCAAAGATCTGTATTACTTCTCTACTCGGGTCTTGTCAAGCAGGCGTTCATTTTTCCAGTTCTTTGGATTAATATGATCCGAGAACATATTCGTATAACTTATATATTATACAAATGCCCTATGATCTTCCAATCTTGTTGGTGCCATCAAGGTTACAGAGATTCTGTTTCAACCGATCATTGAAAGACAGTAGCCATCATACAAGTAGAATATTCAAAATTCGTTACCAGTAGGTTTCGAACCCCCTACCTGGCCAACATATCGCTTGGGGATGTGACAACTTAACCACTTAACTAAGTTGTCACATCCTAATTAAAAAAATTTTTAAAGATCTACTTTATCAACTTTATTAAGAATTTTTTTAAAATTATTAAAAATCTTTAATTAATTAAAGTTCAAAGTTTGTATAATATTAGGGTTTACTATTAAAAATTTTTTTGTTTTTTAAAATTTTATATATTTTTGAAATTAGAAAATTTTTGCTCTTAAGACAAATATTAATTTTTACAAATAAATTATATAATTTATAATGGGTTTTAGAATTTGGCGCACTATGCACCATGGTGCATCTCTGATCACAGGGTATATAAACAGTGATCAGAGATAATAATTAATACTTTTTTTTTTCGCTTTGTATTTTGTTTTATATATCAGTTAACTAAATTTTTTTTTAGATGCAGGTAATTTCATTGTTAGTATCATTCTGATATTGTCATTTTGGTATCATTTTTCTGGTGTTGTCATTCTGGTGCAGTTGTTCTGATGTCATCATTTTGGCGTTTTTGTTCTGCTATCATTGTTGTTCTGGTACTCTTGCTCTGGTATAGTCATTCTGTACTTTATTTTGGCATCACAATTCTGGTGTTGGAGTTTTAGGTCTGGTGTTATTGATTAGATTAGTTTTTTTCTAGGCTGTATGATTTCTTTATCTTTTGTTTGTAAACGCATTCAACCAACACTAACTAATGCTCTTTCTTTCATATAGGTTTTCTTTGAGATAAATTTTTTTTTTCCGCAGCTAGTAATATTTTGTTTTTGTATAGTCGTTTTGTACTAACAGTTTTTTTCTGATACCATATCTTATTAGTTTCATCATATTGATACGTCCTTGCTGGTAAATTTGGTATCGTTCTCTGGTGTTATCATTTTGGCGTCCTTGCTCTAGTATCATCGTCATTCTGGTTTTTTTGCCCTGATGTTGTCATTATAGTATCTTGTTTTGGTGTTTTGTTTTGATGTTGCTGTTCTGTTGTCATAGTTTTAGGTTCTAGTATTATTGATTAGGTTAGATTTGTTTTTAGTGTCTTTTCACATTCATTGTGGTGCATGTTGCTAGTAGAATTGTCATTATAGCTCTTCATTGCTAGTTTTAGTTTTGTTATACTTGCCGTGTTAGATTATATATTTAGAGTTAGTTTTTCTATAGTATTATGGTCAGTGTTGCTTATAATAATTAGATAGTTAAGTTAGGGTTATAGTATATATATTAGGTTATTACGCAATAATATTTCAAAAATATTAGTTATATAATGACGTTTCGAAAATATTCATTACGTAATGATATTTCAAAAATGTTTGTTATACAATTTTTGGTAAAAAAAAAAAAAAAAAATATAAAAAATTATTATTGAAAATGTTTTACCTTAAGTCATGTGATCAGGGATGCACCGTGATGCAAGTACATCAAATTCTAAAACCTATTTATAATAATTAAAATTATAATTCTTTATTCAAATTATAAAGTTTTTTTTTCACTTAGACAGGTTGTACTAGTATCTTTTATTTAATCAAATACTACTTAGTAGAAATACAAAATATTAAAATAAAGATCTGATATTATGCAACTACTTTAACAAAACTAACTATTAACCTAGTACCTACATATGACTAGCTGTATTAGCAAGATATGATCAATTAAGATAATATCTATTAGAGGCTTGTTTGACTACTACTCTACAATAGAATATTATTAATCTGATAAAGAAAAAAAATTTTTATAAAAAAAATATAGAAATATAGAAAAATATATAAAAAAAATAAACAAGAAAGAAAAAAAGAGAGTAAGGTGAAAGCAAGAAAACTAAATTTTTTTATCTACATCAAATAGCCACAATTATAAGTCTGTATTAGGCTTTATAAAAATTATATATTACTATCTAAACTATTCTTTATACTAATTTATATATATAGTATATTTAAGCAAAAACCCTATATAATAAAAAAAATCAATTTCTTCAATACTAACATTGTAGAGAGGTCAAAAATTTACACTATTAAGCTCAGAGTATTGTTTGTTTAGATTGCTATGTTCAAGACACATAATTTATATGTCTACTTTTATATATGGGAACCCCTATAGCAAAACAAACCATTGGGCAAAAAATTTTGATTTTGTAATTTTATAAAAATTGAATTCCTATT